TGCCTGCACGTGTTCTGGCCCCATCCCTCCATCTGCAGGGCAGGTTCTCCGTGCAGCCCGGTGACTCTCGCTGGCCACCCCTCAGCCGGTGGCAGGCCTGGGGTGTGCCCCTCTCCCCGGCTGCTGCCAGGAGCAGCTCGCTGCAGATTACAGAGCTCACATCCTCTCCCTGCCCTCTTCCTCCCTCGGACAATGCTCTCGATTCAGCCTCCTGCCTTGCCTCCCGCCGGGCCCTAAATATGGTGCTTCCAGGCTGAGCTGTTGCACCTGAGCTGGCTGAATCAATATTGACCGGCCAGGAATAGTCCCGCAGCCCTCTGAGAATAGCCCCGCATGTCCGCCCCGCTGCCCACAGCTTCCCGCGCACGGGGCTGCCCTGCTGCCGGCAGTGTATTTTTAGCTGCTGCAGTTGCTGGCTGCATGGGACTGCAGGTGCTGGCACCCAGTGAGCCCCGAGGGCTGGGCTGGAGGGGGATGACAGCGAGGGGGACAACCCCAGCCTGCCAGGGTCACACTGAGCAGCAGGACACGGTGCCTCCGCTGCTGTGGGTTGAGGCTGGTGGGTCCCAGGTGTGGGAGAGCCCACCAGACCCCTCGCTGCCCTCTTCTTGCTGCCCCCAGGAGCAGAGAAGGAGCTGGGAGCGGGACCTAGCACCCACCTGCTCTGCACCCCTGCTGGCATCTGCCTTGGGGGAGGCGTGGGGGGGGCAATTCCTGGCCTCACACTTGAGTAATTGAGCTCCAAAATGTTGAGACACGAATGAGTCATTGGCTCTGCTGCTGGCCTCAGCCCTGCCCTTCCCCAGGGCTTTCCATGGCCCCCATGTTGGGGCTGGCCAGGGCCCCCCACTCCAGAAGAGGCTCCGTCATGTACCCCAAGCCCCGCTGGGGCATAGGGCTGGGAGGAGGGTGCCTGGCGAGGGGGTCCTGGAGCTGGGCACCCCTGCACACCCCGGGGGTGCTGGAGGCTCCCGTGGGACGTGGCGATGAGCTCACAGGCTATTCCCGGCCGTGTTGATCCTGGCTCCTCCCGGCAGGAACCAGCTGCTTCGACTCCAAACAAACAGCCCGGTGGCCACTGGCACATTCCTGGCCGGCCCCTGGCCACGGTGAGGGCACAGGGCTTCCTGTTTATCCCCGTCCACGGCTGGCGGGCAGGCAGCAGGGTGCCCCGGGGACTGACGGCACCCCAAGCCGGAGGTTGCCCCCGGGGCAGGCCAGGGGGGGCATCCCCCGTCTCCACGTCCCACGGAGGGGGGCTGTGCCTGGGGACCCCCACAGCCAGCCTGGCTCAGGGATGGCCCAGGTGATGCCCCAAGCCCCAGGAGGACCCTGCTCTGGGCGCCCGGTGCCACCCCACAGCCTCCCCTGGTCTCTGTGCCCCCCAAGTCCTGTCCCAGGCACCCCATGCCTGCTTGCCCGCTTGAGCTGCTGCGTGGGGTGGGAAGGGGCGAGGGGTGTCCTTTTGGGGTGTCCATCGTGTGGCAGTTTGTCACCCCCAGAAAACTCATGCTCTGCCTGGCTGAGGGCCAGCCCCACGGTGTGGTGGTGCTGGGGGGGGAACATTGACTGGGGACACTGCATTCATTCCGGGGGGGTGTCCAGGCTCGCAGCAGGTAGGGGCTATCCTAGAGGTGCTCAGACCCCACCAAACTGGGGTGGGGGGCAGTGGTTGGGGCAGGGGCATGTTTGCCCCAGGGTGGCAGAGGAGGGCTGGGGGCGGCCAGGATGCAGGGCTGGGCTCCAGGCACGGTGCGGGGGGGCCAGGGCTGGGCTGGGCAGCGTGGGCCCCCACCCGGGGCGGCCCACCCAATCACACCATAAAAGCAGCGGCAGGCGGTGCTCAGCGGCAGGAGAGCTGCTGGAGGCCGGCGTGAGCTGGCACCGCGTCCCCTCACCGCTGCCTGCCCCACGCTGCTGCCTGTCCTGCACCGTCACCCCCTGCCAGGGTGAGTGCCGGGGATGGCCTCGGGAGGGGGGGTCTGGGTACATGGAGGAGGGGGTAGCAACCCCACTAGTGCTCTGAGTGGGGATGCAGGGGGAGAGGTGGGGCGATGGGGGACAGGGCTGTGTACAGGATCGGGAGGGGACTCTGGTGTCCGGCACAGTGTTCAGGTGGGGGATAAGGGGAGGCTCTGCGGGGCCCCGACCCATGGCCCGAAGCATGGGGCAGGCAGGAATCAATAGGGGCAGGGTAGTTTCATGGGGGTTCCTGTGGCTGTTGGCAGGGTGTCTCTGCCAGGGCTGGGTGCCCCCAGCGAGGGGCCGGTGGGTGTGGGGCTGAGCCCCGGTGTGGGGGACACTGCGAGCTGTGCATGGCAGGGACCAGCCCCTGCATCCCCCACAGCGTAGGGACGGGGATGTCACTGCTGTGCGACGGGCCGTGACATCCCTCCACCATCGCCCAGCTCCTGGGGACAGGGGAGCTGCAGCAGCACCCCCCACCCCACTGTGGTCCCCAAGGGCTCAGTGTTGGGCTGTTCCCAGGCACCCCACCCCTGGAGCCGCAATGGTGATGCTGGCTGGTGTGAGCCCCATCCTGCTCCTGCTGGTGCTGCTGCTGTGCCGGGTGGCCCCCAGCGGGCAGGAGCCAGCCCCAGCACAGCTGCGGCTGGTGGGGCCGTGGGGGCCGGCTGGCGGGGGCCGGCTGGAGGTGCTGTACCAAGGGCGCTGGGGCACGGTCTGCGACGATGGCTTCGACTTCCACGCGGCCACTGTTGCCTGCCGGCAGCTGGGCTACACTGCAGCTGTCACCTGGACCCATAGTGCCACCTACGGCCAAGGGGAAGGTAGGGGGCAGGTGGGGAATGGGGAGCGGGGGGTCCTGGCGAGGGCAGTGTGCTTAGTGCTGGCTGGGGCAGCCTGCCCGGGGGGCTGTGGGTGCGGGCAGCCTGCGGGGGGCACTGGATGGGGCCCATGGTGCTGGGAAGGGAGATGGGGACTGCCCCCGACAGTGACCCCCAGCCCTGCGTGTCCTCGTCCCCAGGCCCCATCTGGCTGGACAACGTGCGGTGTGGGGGCAGCGAGGGCTCCCTGGCAGAGTGCATCCACAACGGCTGGGGTACCAGCGACTGCCACCACGGTGAGGACGCTGGCGTGGTGTGCTCAGGACAGCGCCTGCCCAGCACCCCCCCAGAGGCCACCACCTCTGCTCACCTGGGAGAGGTGAGTGCCCAGCAGGATGGATGGGGGGGGCCTTCCCCTTGTCCCTATCCTGCACACCCTTCCCTCCGTGCTGGAGCCCCCATGCCCACCCCTGTGCCCACCGCGGCAGGTGCCGGGGCTGAGCCTGGAGGAGGTGAGGCTGAAGCCCATCCTGGCGCGGGCCAAGCTGAGCATGCCGGTGATGGAGGGTGCCGTAGAGGTGAAGCACAATGGGCGCTGGAGGCAGGTGTGCGATGCCGGCTGGACCAGGAACAACAGCCGCGTGGTCTGCGGGATGCTGGGCTTCCCCCGGGAGAAACACGTCAACACCAGCTTCTACCGGTAGGGATGTGGGAGAGCCACGTTGCAGCCGTGGGGCACGTGGGGCAGGGTGCCTGGCTGGACACACCGTGAGGGCAAGAGACTGGGGGGTGTTGGGGAAGGGATGCACACGTGGATGGGTGTGCAGGGTGCTGGTATGGCCTGGCCATGCCTGGGTTGTCTTCTTGGGGCCTTAGGGCAGAGCTGGGCTCGGCAGCAGCCAGGGGGCTGAGGGGAGAGTCACCAGCTGTGGCCAGCAAAGCGTAGGTGGAAGGAGAGGAGAGGCAAGCGGCCCTTGGCCCCTCCGCCCCCGCCTTGGACTGGGGCTATAAATACAGCCTGTAATGAGCCCCTGCCGGTGCCAGGAGTCGTGCAGTCCCGCCGGGGCATGCAGCGCAGCCAGGCTTGGCATGGTAATTGCCAGTGGGGAGAGGACCTGTCTTCCCCCTGCCGTGCCATGGGAGGAACTCCCCAGCTCCAGCTCCTGTCATGGGGTGGCGGGGAGAGCAGGGGTGATGGGCTGGGGGTCCCGAGCCCTTCAGGGTTGGCACGGCCCCCCCTGGACCTCCTGTCTCTGTGTACCTGCAGGAAGCTCTGGAACATGAAGCTGAAGGACCCCAACTCCAGGTAGGGCTCAGCCCTAGGCAGGGCAGGCAGGGGTACCCTGGGTAGGCACCCAGCATGGGCGTTGGATGGGGGAGAGTCTCCAGTGCCTGAGCTGATGCTGGCCCCTGCTCCTCTCCCTTGGCAGCCTGAAGACCCTCAGCCAGAAGAACAGCTTCTGGGTCCACAGGGTGCGGTGCCAGGGCACGGAGCCCCACCTGGCCCGCTGCCCCACACAGGTGGCCCCGCCAGCCCCCCGCCAGCACGCCTGCCCCCGCGGCATGCACGCCATCATCAGCTGTCTCCCCGGCCCTGCCTTCCAGAAGGGCACGGGCAAGGGCAGGAACAAGACCTCCCAGGGAAAGGTGAGCCCCGGCACGGCCCCGCACCCCGTCCTGCCAATGGAGGGTCCCAGAGCCAGGCAGCACCTGGCCACCCCGTTTGCACCCGTGCCCGTGGTGCAGAGAGGTAGCTGTGCCCTCGGGCCACTGACCGGCTTCTCCCTGTGCCCAGGTCCTCCCAGTGCGGCTGCGAGCAGGCACCCACGCTGGCGAGGGCCGGGTGGAGGTGCTGCGCCACGGGCAGTGGGGCACCGTGTGTGACAAGCAGTGGGACCTGGCTGCGGCCAGTGTGGTGTGCAGGCAGCTGGGCTACGGGACGGCGAAGCAGGCCCTGGTGGGAGCGCAGATGGGCCAAGGTGAGGCACATGGTGTGGCAGGGACTTGGGGCATCACTGGGTTTGGAGGGGCACAATGGGGAAAGCCCCTGTTTTAGCGGGTGCTGCTGGAGCCTCCTGGAATGTCCAGGCAGCTCCAGCCTGCCCTACAAAAGGGCTCCCCTGGCTGTGTCTGCCATGGGCAGCCCCATGCCCGTAGGGAACCCCCAGACCAGGAGAAGGAGGGTGGGGGACCTCTCTGCTCCAGGACAAGCATGGAGCGGGGAGTGCTGACCCTCCCTCTGCTTCAGGCCTGGGACCCATCCACATGAGCAAGGTGCAGTGCACCGGCCACGAGCGCTCCCTGGGCGAGTGCCGCTTCCAGGATGCCGAGCAGAGCGGGTGCCGGCACGAGGCCGATGCCGCTGTCCGCTGCCACGTGCCCCACATGGACTTCCAGAGCCAGGTGAGCCCCTGCCTCCTCCCCAGAGCCTGTGGAGCCCCAGCCCCATTGCACAGCCCCTGCCCCTCAACCTCTGTGCCCAGTGTGGATGCTCAGAGCAGCCCTGGCATGGCCCAGGGGATGGGGGGACACAGAGCAGCATGCCGATGGGGGGGCTGCAGGATGAGTTGGTGGCACAAGTGGTCTTGTGGGGAGGAAGGGATGGAGAGGAAGGTGGGGGAGATGTCAGCTGGATGCATGGGGCTGCCTGCCCCATTGCAGCTCCATGCTCCGGCTCAGCCCCTCTTTGCCTGCAGGTGCGGCTAGCTGGGGGCCGCAGCCCCGAGGAGGGTGTGGTGGAGGTGCTGGTGCCAGTGCAGGGGCGGCTGCAGTGGGGCGCGGTGTGTGGTGCACAGTGGGGGCTGAATGAGGCCATGGTCGTCTGCCGGCAGCTGGGGCTGGGCTTTGCCAGCCATGCCCTCCAGGTGAGTGGGTTCCCAGCCCAGGGCCTGGGCTGCAAAGGGTCCAGTGGGACGTGTGGCGTGGGCATGGGTATGGCTAGGGGCTCTGGGATGGGACAGCCTGTGGCTGCAAGCCCTGGTGGCAGCACTGGGGCAGGGGAGCTGGCAGGGGAGGTGGGGTGGGTGCTGGCAGGGGGTGCGAGGGCTGGTCTGAGCGCTGTGCTCCTCCTCTGCCCAGGAGACATGGTACTGGGCAGGCAGCCCCGATGCTGCCCAGGTGGTGATGAGCGGGGTGCGCTGCACCGGCACCGAGCTGGCCCTCCAGCAGTGCCAGCGCCACGGCCCTGTCCACTGCCCCAGCGGCGGGGGACGCTTCTCGGCGGGGGTCACCTGCACTGCCCGTGAGTACCACGAGCCCACGGGGTACTTCTGGGAGGGGGCACCCCCCCTTCCCCTGGCACAGAGAGTGGGGGGCTGTGCGGGGTGTGGATCGCCTGCTCTATCCCCACTGATCCCCTCCGTGCCAGATGCCCCGGACCTGGTGATGAATGCCCAGCTGGTGCAGGAGACAGCCTACCTGGAGGACCGGCCACTGGAGCTGCTGTACTGCGCCCACGAGGAGCGCTGCCTCTCCCGCTCCGCTGACCACATGCACTGGCCCTATGGCCACCGCCGCCTCCTCCGCTTCTCCTCGCAGATCCACAACCTGGGCAGAGCCGACTTCCGACCCAAGATGGGGCGCCACGCCTGGACCTGGCACCAGTGTCACCGGTGAGTGGCCCGTGGGCAGGGGCTGGCAGGGGTCTGCCCCCTTCCCAGGCCAGGCAGGGCACAGTGGCACCCGTCCCGCAGAGGCTGGCACGCCCCGGGTAATTAGCAGAGTCCACGCTGGCACTGTCATTATGGCTTTATTTGGCTTCAAGGCTGTAATTTGCTCAGAGCCTCTGGGTGCTGCCCACTCCCGGCTGGGCCGGCCACGTGCTCCCCAGCCAGGCACCAGCCCCACACTCAGCCCTTGTCCCCACAGGCACTTCCACAGCATCGAGGTCTTTACCCACTACGACCTGCTGACGCTCAATGGCTCCAAGGTGGCCGAAGGGCACAAGGCCAGCTTTTGCCTGGAGGACACCAACTGCCCTGAGGGTAGGTGTGAGCCGCAGAGCTGCCAGCGACCCTCCCTGTCCTGCTGCCCGAGGGGGGCTCTGCCCATGCCCTCCCTCACCTCCCCTCCCTCCCGCAGGGCTGCAGCGACGCTTCGCCTGCGCCAACTTTGGGGAGCAGGGGGTGAGTGTGGGGTGCTGGGACACCTACCGCCATGACATCGACTGCCAGTGGATCGACATCACCGACGTACCGCCGGGCAGCTACACCTTCCAGGTACGGGGATGGAGGAGCAGGGTGTGGCCCAAGCCACCGGAGCTCAGGGCTGGGGGCCACCCTCCACGGGTACCACCAGCACCCCTCACCCTGCACATCGGGGTGCTGCTCTGCATGCCACAGCCCTGCCTGGCCAAGGCACGGCAGCAGTGCCCCCAGCCCTGCTCCTCTCCCTCCCCAGGTGGTTGTGAACCCCAAGCATGAGGTGGCTGAGTCAGACTTCTCCAACAACGTGATGCAGTGCCAGTGCAAGTACGACGGGCAGCGCGTCTGGATGCACGGCTGCCACACAAGTACGGAGAGATGGGAGCATGGCGGGCAGGGCAGGGGGACGTGGTGGGGCTGGGCGTCCTGCAGGTCCCGTGTCCCCCTCACCCGTGCCATCACTCTCCCCAGGCGATGCCTACGGTGCCGATGTGGTAAGCGATCTGGAGCGACGGGAGCGGCTGGCCAACAACCTTGTATGACCCCCTGGCATTGGCACGCTCCTGGCAGCAGCGCGGGGCAGCCTGGCTCCCGCACCCCAGCCCCTGCACCCTGGCAGCACCACTCTGAGCTCAGGGACTCGAAGACTTTTATATTTATTGATGCTGCCGCAGAGGATGGAGACAAGCACCGGGGCTGGCGGGGAGCACCCGGGGATGCCCAGCACCATGCTCCTGGCTGGACCTGCAGGAGGGGCCCGGGTACCGCGGCAGCCCTCACCTCTGTGGCTCCGGTGCCCCCCAGGACGACTACCTCAGCCTGCCCGCCCAGCCCTCCGGTCCCAGCAGAGTCAGGACAGGCCTTGGTCACTGGCACCCATGCACCAGTCCTGTCCTCATAAAGGTGCTGTGCGATGGGAGAGGGGGTACCCCCTTATCAATCCCACCATCCCCTGCTCCTTCCCCTGCGCTCTTCACCACCAGGACCATGAATCTGGTCCCCAGCCGGGAATGATCTCAGTCTAGGCAATGTCCCCCCGGCCAGGCAATGTCCCCTCTCCGCCACCCAGCGCCACCAGCCTCCCTGGCTGCCTGCGTGTGGCCGGTGCCAAGCAGCTCTGGCTCGCTGCCAGTGGTCCCTGCCGGCCAGGGCACCCTGGCCCTGAACTGGCTGACCCTGTGCACACAAAGGGACCTGGCTAGCTCTGTGGCAGCATGGGCCGGCAGCCAGCCCCCCGGCTGGGCGCCGCGCCCGCCCCCCGCCCCGGCCTTTCCCGG